GGAGTCGTTTCAATTTTGTTAACGTATTGTAATTTCAGATTTTCCGTTTCTTCTAATTTCATTGTGATTTCTGCTTGTTCTAGTTTGTCTACTAGTTTTCTAAAATCTAAATCGGGTTCTCGAATTGAAGAAGGATGTGATGCTCTCTTTTTTATTGCTATTTTCCTTAATTGTGGTGTTAAGGTCATCATTAAGATTTCTGTCATCTTAGTGTTTTTATAGTCATGTGTATTTAGTGAATATGCTTTTCGAACTAGTGTTTCGATTCTTACTGCTATTTGCTTGATGGTTTCGTTTGGTAATCTGCGAATTTCATTACATAAAACTCTTTGTTGTTGTTTGTTTCTTTCGGAGTCAAACATTTTTGAAAATTCTTGTGTAAATCTTTTCCAGTTTGATTTTATTTCTTGAGGTAGTACTGAAAACCATTTTTGGGCTGCGCCATCTAAGGTTGTTTGTATCAACGCTGTGCGTCGATGTATCCAGTTTTGATGTAGTGGCGTGTTAATTGGTTCAGGTCCAATATTTAAAATTAAATTTGCTGTTACTGCATTTAAGTAATCTTCTACAGAGTATTCAGGGTCTGTTCCTGTGAAAACCATTAAGGGTTTATTTGATGTTATTGATGATCCACCCATAAGGTATGGATTCATTGTCATTTGTAATGATTCAGCTGCATTTGGCATTTGAGAAAAATTTGAAAGTTGGTTTCTTGTTATTTCATGTTGTTGAAGATAATACGGGAGTGGTATTTCATTTTGCATTTGTGATGGTTGATACGAGTGTGTAGTCATTGGATTTTGTTGTTGAATTGGTTGAAAAGATTGTATATTAATTGGATTTGGTTGTTGAATTGGTTGTTGATATTGTGCATCTATTGATTGTGGAGAAAAATTTCTATGGTTTGTACGTGTTTTCTGTATTCCTTGTCTACGATATTCTTGAGTATTTTGTGCAAATATATCTGGTTGTAAGAAATCTTCATCTGAGGATAAATAATCCATTTGATAAGATGTTTGTTTTTTATTTTTATTTTGTTGAAAAAATGGGTAATTTTCACTGCGATCCTGTGGAGGATTTGGTTGAAAATTTGTGGAATTATATTGGGCCGTTGGGTTATCCCAGTTTCGAGGTTTTGTATATTGATTAAAATTTCTTTGTGGTTTATAATTTGTTTTTGATGGATGTGTATAATTATAATTATGGTCTGCAAAGTTGTTTCTAGTGAATGTTTTGCGTGTTTTTGATGGTATTGTCATGGGTTTGTATGTTTGGTAATCCATATGTGAATATTTAGGGGCAACCGAAGGTTTAACGGTTGATTGTAAGGTTACCTGTGTTTGTGAAGGATTTGTATTTCTTGGTGTTGTTAAATTTGGGCGTATTGGTGAAATACTTTGTTGTGTAGTTGTTGTGTGTACAATTTCTTCATTTATGAAGTGTGATGGTGTCTGTATATCTTGTTGAGTAAGATTCCTAGTTCCATTGAGGTTTTCATTGTGTATGACTGTAGAGTTTAAACTATTATTTTGTGTATCGGGTAAAAATGTATTATAGTTTAATGGTGTTGCATCAATTGTTAATGGTATTACTCTTACATAATCTCTTATGTAAGATATTGTACCTATTGCTTGACTTGAGATTGATTGTGGAAAGTTTATAAATACGGGATGAGACCATTCGGGGTCCCAAACATAATCTGATTGTTCTGTGATAGCTGTATCATCGTTCGAGTTTTGGGGTCTAAAATTTTTTCTTGCTTGTGCAATTAAATCAATATTGTGTGTAAAATAATCTATTATGAACCATGCTAAAATTTTTTGTAAATCGTGTTTGGTATGTTGTGAAACGTCGTCTTTCGTGAAATTTTCTTTAATGATGTTTAAATAACTAGAGAGTAGTGTGATTTCATGTCGTACTCTTAAATGTTTAGATGTTTCTGTCGGTGAGACATTTGTTAATGGGAGTTCATTTTCTAATATCGAAATATAACTATATATTAGTGCGAAAACTTCATTGGTGAAAATGGAGTTTGCTCTTTGTGAGTTATGGTATTGTATGCTTTTTATATATTCTGAAAAAACTTTTGAAAATTCTAAATCAAGGTCGTCTGTTTGAATAGTGTATGTTCTATTATTATGGTTTGGGGAAGTGAATTCTATAGAGTAGATTCCATATTGTTGTGTTATGTTGCATATATCTTTTAGATAGTGATCTATGATTTGTCTTTTGATTTTTACATCGGGGAACTCTGTTTTACATGGACTGATTCCGGGTTCAAATAAATTTACGAGTAAATTTTGACAAAATATGTGTTGTCCTCTATCAGTATCTGCATCTACTATAAAAGGAAAGATTTCATCATCATCTGGAGTTTCGTCACCTGGGGTGTGCGTTGAACTCATTTTTTCGTTCGATGACTGTTAATATGTAATTATTAATGTGTCGAATTGGTTGATTCCAGTTGTATAGATGTACTGGTTTGTGTTTATACTGCTTTTTTATTCTTCTTTTTCCTCTTTGTGATGAATTTGAAGTTGTTTCTGAGTCAGAAAAATATAATTGATCGTGTTGTGGGTAATTTTTATCTATTGATTCTTTTAGTTTGTAGAGTTCGTCTAAACTGTTGGTTTCTGATTCTGAAAATGCGTTTCGATTTTTTGAAAATCTTTTTCGTTTTATTTGTCTTTGTTTAGTGATTATTTTTCTCTTTAGTGTTTGTCGTTTTGTTCGAATGTATCCAACTGTTTGTGTATGAGGTGTGATTACAAGGTCGTATTTTTTGTTATCTATTTCACAATTGTGTAAAACGATTGTTTGTTTATTCCCTAGGTTTTTAAATGACATAAGGTTTAGGATGACGGGTGCAAAAGGTTGTTAAATGATTTCTATTTTCCTAAACTGTTAGTTCTTACGATTTTTTGGTTAGCTTAACCTGGGTCTATTTGTTTAGGGTTGGAGAGAAAAGTATATCGATTCCGAAGAATGATTTTTACTTTCTCGGGACTAGTATAAGCTAAGGTGTTAACTTACTTAATCTTACTTAGGGGTAGTGATTGTGTTCAAGGGTTGGAGAATAGTAAATCGATCCACAAGGTTCAGGTATAATTAGAACGCGAGTAGTTCGTTAGATACTATTTTAAACTTACTAAGTCTAAGATTTATCCTGGGTCTGGTAAGAGGGGGGATCAAGTGAAGGATGAATAACCGAAGTTCTTCACTGTTTATCCTAATTTGAATGATTAGTTTTGTTTAAAAATTTCTATTAGTCTTGGGTCTTTAGAAAGGGTTGGGTAGTGAATCGACGTTTGAGGTCGTTAGACACTAATTAAGTGGGTGGGGGAGAACAAAGTTGTTCTGTTTGATCCAAGGATAAGCCTTGATGATCAAATTTAAAATGTAATGAAGTAGAAAATGATTTAAGATCCAAGGATAAGCCTTGATGATCTGGTTTTAAAATTAAGTGACTTTAAGTTTTAATGAGGTTTTAAATTTGTGTAAAGGAAAGATTTAGTATTTTATGATATTAGTGAGTTGATGATTGCTGTTATGTTTTAGGTGATGAAGCTGGAACAACAGGATGATTTATGATTACTAACCATTTATTGTCATGCTACTAATTTTTATTTTTATTTTCCAATAAATATTTTTCAAACATGTTTTGTATAATACTGCAGAATTTTAGGAAAACGATCTTAGATCTTTTTATCAATCGTTATTGTATAATATTAATTTTGTTTAGCGCCTGAAATGATTTTGAAGATTTACTTCAAGGTTTTATGTTTGCAAATGGAAATCTAAATTCATTGCAAGTAGTATTCGAAATATAAAAGTTTGTTCTGGCTTTTGCCGAACTATCATGTAACTATACGGCAAGTTTCTACTTTGTCGTATGTCGTCTTTGGTTCGATGTCTTCTTCCAATTCCGGGTAGTTCTATTATGGTTCGGAATATTGGCTCGGATCTATTGAGTCGGAGAGACATTTCAATTAAATTATTGTCGTATAACATTTTGTAAATGTTTTTGTCTAATTTCTAATCTAATTTTGGTTAATTCTAATCTAATAAGGTCTTGTTCGAGACTTATGGTCGCACCAGATGAGTTAGGACTGGAGTGTAACTCATAGAGTAATTTCGGATAGGGTACACCGTCTGCTCGTCACGCTATCTTATTTTCGGCCGGATAGATTCGTGCAACTTCTTAGTCTAATACCGATCCTAATCTTACTCTTATACTATCTAGTCTCAGGTTGTTTAACTAGTCTCTGCTAGGCTCAATAGATCTAGGGTATACTGGTTTATTGCGGCTGCTGAAGTGCTCGGGAGAGTCCAACTAATTTCTAAGTTAAATTCAAATCTCTCTGGTGCTGAAATTACAAGTAACTTCAGCACTTACAAATAAGTGGGTTGTTAGTTAGATGGATCATGATTGGTTAATATTAAATACTTTACATTGGTAAAACATTTAATTTATCCAATCATAAAATATAGTTTAGATCAGGTTCCATTATCATGGTAAAATTAGGATGGTCATTTAAATTTAAATTTAAGTTTTAGTTAGTTTTGTTTAGGATATGCCTGCACTATTTTTTATAATTTAGAAAATGTCGACTACTTTTTCCTCTCAGATTTTCTGAGCAATTTTTTATAACTTTAATTAAAAGTACAGCGTCAAAACGCGACTTTGAATCGCGTCTTTGTTCAACTGATCATATTTCAGAGTACAAGGTTGAGAAAGAATATCAAGTATATTTCAAACAGTTTATTTAGTGGAAAACCAAGGTTTCACCCGTAATTATTTGGATCTGTTTAGTGTACGGAGACCTAACAAGGATTTTTCTCCGTACACTCCCCAGATCCAAATAATTACGCGTGAAACTTTAGTTTTCCACTAAATAAACAATTTGAAATATATTTGATATTCATTCTTAACCTTGTGCTCACTAATCAATAAAAACTATGCTTTAATTGGATGCTGGGTAGGAAAAAAGAGCCCCCACCTATGAGATAGTGTGTGGTGTCGTTGAGTGGGAGGAGTGTGCCATTTCTGTACATCTGGAAGAAGAGGTACTCCACATCTGGAGTGTTGTAGTCTACTCTGATTTCCTCGTCTGGATTGGTCAACTGCTGGTCTGTCATTGTTATATTGGGGGTGGTGGGACCTGCAAACAGTTACACTCTAAACATGTGTAACAAACTAACCATTTCTTACAAACTGGTCGCATTTTTTTCGTTAAAAAAGAGCATTTCGTAAAAAAGGACTAATTTTTCGTTTTTCGTTCTTCTATTTTTCGCTCGCTTTTCGCTCGCTTTTTTATGTTTATTTGAAAACATAAAAGAATATTTGAGAACATAATAGAATGCTCTGTCTAATTCATTTATCCCATGTTTATCTGGCGCTATAGGAAGGACCAATGTTCTTTTTTGCAAGAAGAGGCTGATACATGCAATTTGCTAAGAACATCTCATCCGCGGGCAAATTTTATTTATAAAAAACTTCAATATAGTGATTTTTTTTACCATAACTTGAGTTCTTATATTTTTTCTCGCTTTAGAGTGTAAATTTTCTTTAGTTAGAAATCAGTTTTCAATGAATGGAATAAAAAAAAGTTGTCTGATGTGTACTCCAAATTGAGAAGTACAAAATGACTCACGGGTCCACGCAGTGGTCATGACAGAGGGCGAGTCCAAAACAGTCGCATGTGAGTCATAGTATTGACCCTTCCTGTCCGGACACACCAGCCTCGTCCTCACTTCAACCTTCTTGCTAGTCATGGGGTCAAAGGTCAACCCGGCCGGAGTGGGGGAGGTGAAGGTGTGGGAAAGAGTGTGGGTGAAGTTCTGAAAAACACGAATGAATAAGTTGTGGATCCGAAATCAAAACTAAAATTAAAGTTCGAATCTATTGGCTGCAAGGAGTACAATATGAGAGGTAAGCAACACTCGATGATCGATGCGAAAATGGTGTACAATAATTATTTTCCGGAATGCTGTACTTGATCTGTTGCTACAGGACTACAAACACTTTAATTATATTTTCAGTTTTTATGCCGATTCATGGAAAAATGTTCACCATTGCACGCTAATTTAAGCTCGTTGGGAATATCGAAACTAGTCAATTTTTTCGGTGCAATTATATGGGGTTGCGGTTTCTGTCTCACGCGATTTACAGCTCACTGATTAGCTGGTGTGCTGGAATATCTGCGGCAATTTCTGTGTTGATTACACTTGCAAGCAGCGTAGTGTATTAGTACGAACCTTTTTTTTTAAACTAACTCAAAAGTATAGAAAAGTGCTCATTAAAAGTGTCCACTTATTTGGTGGCACCTTTGCTATAATCACGAGCTGTAGTATTGAAAATTTCATAGCATCTAATCTCTGCATTATTTGCGGCTAGTGTTGGCGCTTTATTAAGTGTCCGTGGCTGAGTGGTTAGTGCGTGAAACTCAGATTCTCAGAGTCCCTGTAGGTCGCAGAGCAAAACCGCGACGAAGCCGAAGTTTTACCACTTCGAGGCTTATTTCTACTTTTTTCTAATGCACTTTAGCCTCAGCTGCTTTTTATCGTATTCTCGCTAGTGTTTGCGAAGCGAAGCTTTGCCTCTGCATAAATCACTGAACAGCAAAAAATTGCTTTCGCGTTGGCTCGTCAGCTACTGTATCTCAATTGCTGATGTTGTAGCGGAATTATTAGCTCATTGTCTGCTAGGTCAGGTAAACGCTATTATACTGTAATAATATGAAAAATGTTTGAGGAAATCCAAACGTAGCCGGCTTGATGTTTTTTACACATCTCCATGAACCTTTTTGATCTATTAAATCGCGACAATTTATGTACGTAAGCCCTTCAACAACCAGCAGTTTATTTCTTAAGAGAGATGAAATCCAAGACAATTGTGAGGAAAACATTTTCAAAAACAATTTTTCTTTTGAGCTGAAGCGTGTCTTGTGATTGAACAATGACAATTGGATTGAATTTATCTAACTTGACTGGATATACTTGATTGATTGTGTTTGGTTTGATTCAATTTGTTTTTCAGTGTTCTCTTTGATTGAGTAACGTTTTTCTACCACAATAAACTTTAATATAAAAAACATATGCAAAATTTAGGTTAAGAATGACACTGGCTAATTATTGAGAGAATTTGACTGGATGAATTTGTTTGCAATTTTCTAGGTTTTTTTGAAAAAAAATATCAGGAATAATTTTTTTCTGGGATGCTTTTGGATTGACACGAAATCTTGGGAAACGGATAAGCAAATCAGTATTAACAAGTATAATCACGTTATTAGAACAACCTTGACAATATAAACATATCTAACAGAATATTGAAAAAATTAAAAAAGAGCAATACAGCCGAATCAAATTTGTTTGAAAAAGTTTGAACATTTTTAACTGTCGAGCTTCGAAGCAATTTACATTATGCCGAAGCTTTTTGAGATTCAAATACTGTTTATGATTACGCGTTTTTCCTAATTCTGTTCAGAGAAAACTGGATCAATGGGTTATTGTTTTTTTCCGCTGAAACTTAAAGCCGATTTTTGAAATCAGAAACGAATCACGTTTCCCGTTCCGTTTCAGCTTAGCTGCTCGATGGTGTTGTTTGCCTTCTTTTAACTATGTGAAAGAAGCGAAATTTGAAATATAACTTAAAACCGCAAAAAGTCAAATTTGAGCGTAAGAAGACTCTAGAACTTCTTTCTTCCTGAAAAAACCAAACAAAACAATCGTCCTCGGCAAGTCCTTTGCGAGTGAAAGTTTTTTTGTTATCTACAATTATTAACGTGGAATTTTTCAATCCTTGCCTGTCTTAAACATGAGTTCATATCAAAACAAAACTTTTTTATCGTCCCATACCTAGTAATTATTCCATATTAGAACTGATAAAGTCTACTTCAGGTTTAAAATTCAGACCTGAAACGGTTTGTGATATGTTAAAATAACGCTAGGATATACTAAAAGAGCTGCATAATTTCAGATCTGAACAGGGATAGCCGGTTGCTGTGTAAATAGCAAAGAATGTTCTGATCGAGTCCTTTCTGTTTTTTTTCTATTAGTGCTGTTTTTTGTGCGTGGTGTGATTAAAGGATTTGACATAAAAAATTTTTCTTGTTTTTTTTTGTCACATTAGCGTTGTTTTTTTTGCGTGGTGTGATTAAAGGATTTGACGTAAAAGTTTTTTTTTGTGTTTTTTGTCACACTAGCGTTGTTTGTTTTTGCGTGGTGTGATGAAAAGATTTGAACAAACCTAAACTTCTGGCAAACTCGACAGTCACAGTAAGATAGACAAACCGGGCAAACAAAATCAAAAAAACTCTGAAACGTTTTTCTGTTTTTTTAAACCGGGTTTTTTCAAAATTGGGTCATTTTTTTTGAAATCCCAACTGAGAGGGCTTTGGTATGATTTACTGCACGACCCATTCCGATGATTATCTGTTGCACCTGATTTTGCTCGGAAAAAAACACACCTGAATACAAAGTTCCTCCCCGTGTTCAATGGTCGGAATAATGATTCTTTTCAGGGTTATTTCAGAGTTTAAGTTCAAATGAGATATACATAATTTGAGATCTGAAAAGCAACATATGTAGGAAATAAATAAGTTAAGAGTTTGCTGGTTAAAGGGTTGTCTCATTCGACTCACGAGTTCCACTTGAGTTTCGTTGTCCTCGCTGTGTGACACCACAGTGTACATTGTGAGTGTCTGTCCTGTCTGGGGGGCTGAGAGGGAGGAGTGAGAGGACACTGGGGGGACAGTCCAGCTGAAGTGGAGGGAGGAGGAGGTGTCTTGCTGCCACGAGATGGCAGTGGGCTCCGGACCATCTATAAGCGGAATGCAAATGGTTGTATTTTTAGTTTTTTTCCCAGTCTAGCCCAATCCCTCACAAATATAAAAGTTTCGTTTGAATTGCAATTTACAGAAGGAAAAAAACGCTATAATATTTCAAACATAGAATGAAATTTCAAAACGTTGATTTCAATATTTTTCATATTTTTATTTCTATTTTTGGAGGATTTTACGAGGAAAAAGCAAAACACCTGTTTTTTTATTGTTTGTTTAAGCTCTACAGTTTAATTTAACACTTAAATCTATCTTTCATATGCCCAGTTACACTCACATGTACAGGAGCACAGAGCATCAAAATAGGCATGCGTGTAATTATCGAATGTCAAATGACCCTCGGTGAACTCTGCGTTATCTATCACGTGATTGAGGTCATTGACTAGTGTCTCATTGGTGTGGTAGTCGTAGTCGTCTAGCCAGAGGTACCTGTCTCTCGTTCTGGTCTCAAGGCCACGCCATCTGGCCACTATCTCGTAACAGTACATCGATGCAGTCGAGAGACCTGGAAAACAAAAACGGGGAAAAAAATTACAGGATGCGCGGATGATTTCAAAAGCAATCTGATGATATCGTGTAATTATTATGTAGTAATTTAAATTTGATTTTATTTTTGTATGTAAATTGAAGTTTGACGTCTTTCAACTTTTTTCAAATTTTAGAAACAAGTTGTTGGCGTTTTTTTGACCTGTGATGAAAATGTTATGTAGTTATAGTTAATACGGAATTTTCATTAAAATTTTTGCCAATTTGTTTTCTTGCTTTTTGAAGACTCTTCGTAGGCTGGAGTCTTTATTTTTTTGTAAGTGATTTATCATTTAATAAAAGTCTTTATCATTTAAAAGCACTGCTCTTTCGTTTAAATTTTTTTTGGGTTTAAATGACTTCACCTGTTATAAGATAGTTATCAGTTGTCAAGTTAGCCACCACCAAGGTGGAACAATCAGTAAGGTCCAGTGAGCACTCCATGACGTCATATACCAACTCTGGTGCCTGGATACCATCCCACGTGATCTGTATGCTCTGGGTGTCTCTGGGTTCTAGTTGGACATCTTTGGGAGGGTATGGCGCTGTCTCAGCAATCACCTGCAAAAATTTATTTGTTCACATTTTACAACAAGGTCACAACTTTTTTTAACGTACGCAGCACGCAGCACGTTTTTTGGCATATAGCTAAAATTGAAACCACGAGGTGCATCACATTTTTTGAATTGCACACCAAAATTGGACAATTTTTTCTTTTCCTTCCCTAAAAAATTTGGCCCCTAAAACTTTGAGCTTATTCTTATAAAATTTATGTGATACAAATACTTTATAATACGTTTCTAATAAAAACAATGTAAAAAGTTAAAGCAAAATAAAAAGATGCGAATGTTCTCACCGTGACTGGATCTCCATACATGATGGTGTTATCGACTGGGCAAAGGTACACAGATCTGATCTGGATGTGGTAGACTGTGTTGGGCATGATGGACTTGGCAGTAAAGTGTCGCTTCGAATCCAGGGCTGCCAAGAGCATGCCTGTCGTGCCAGAGATCTGGAAAAAACATCAGATGAAATAAACACAAGAGGAAAATAAGGAAAGATAATTCTGACTGTTTTGATTGCATAAACTAAAAAAAGTTTTCTGATAACTTTTTTCATTAAGAGAAGCTTCTAAGGTTGATACTCATTTTAGATACTAAGTTAACTGATTTTTCTGAACCCTTTCATATTAAAGTTACAGCTACTTTACTTGTATCTCAAAAACACTTGTTTTCTTTTTATCGTCATTTTACTTACTGAATTTTTTGAGCCTTCAAAAACAATTTCTTACTTATTTTTTTTTCGTCATCTTACTTACTGAAATTTTTTAAGCCTTAGAGAAACCGACTTAGACTTATAACTGTAAGTCTGTAAGTAACTTTTTAAAGAAAAGTTGAAATTTTTTACGCTGAAGTCGTCAGGTGTGTCTGGTGACCGGAAGGAGTGGTCGAATACATAGCCGACATCCATCCACGCATCCTCTCCCGATATGTCAATCTTGACCTCGAAGCTAAAAGAGGTAAACAGTCACGTAAAAGAAACAAGGATAGTCGGTTACTGTGCAAGTAGCACTGCATGTTCCGACCAGTCTTAAAAAAATACAACAAAATTATTTTTCCAATTAGTGTCGTTTTTTCGGCTTGGTGTGATAAATGAATTTGAGCGAAAAAGTAGAGCTAATGCATTTTCATCAGTCATGTAAAATATGCGAATTGCAAAACTGTGTTTAGGGTACCAATTGCACTGAAAATTGGAAGTTAGTTTATTTATTACGTCCAAAATAAGCTCAACGGCGCTTCATGTATATTTGACGAAGCGATGTTAACTTCAACCAATAAAAAGCATGTATTCTCTATCGTTATCGTTTGAGATTTATGAATTGGGGTGAATATTGCTTGAAAAACCCAAAAATAGGCACAAACATTGTCCTTCAATCAAAATAAAAAAGGAAATGTTTCCACACGAATAATGTGCGTATATGATACACAACTTTTGATGATTCGGTTTCTTTGCAAGTTTTCACTATTTGTCAATTCTACGAGTTGTTTGAGCATTTGAGGCACAAAAAGCAGCTTCCTGGGCGATTACCTGTCGACGGTATTGCCGAGGGGTTGTTTCCATTTGAAGTCCACTCCATACCAATTGCGGTTATCCGCCTCTTCGCGTTGAACAATATTGGGAGCTGGAAACATATAGTAACTGATATATATTTTTATTCAGAGAACTTTTCAGCTTTTTACTTATTAGTTTCCATAATAAGATATGTTATAAACGTTTCTACAAAAAGGGTGAAACATAAAAGGGAGACCTCAAAAATTATCAAAACTTTGCGAATCCAAATTTATTACTGCAAATTATAATAACTGAGTGCGTCTCTTTATATTGAGATATGTAGAACTCGTTTAGATGGAATCCATTTGTGGTGATAACACTAAAAAGAAAATTTTTTTCCTACCTGCAGTTTTAGTTTTTTTTTAGCTGAATTGAAAGTCATTGAAAAATCGTTTCGAAATAAGTTCCGGTTTTTTGCAGCGTTGTCTTGGAAAATAAAGCGAAACTTTTTCCATTTGAAAGACTAGGCTTTGGATTAGGATTTTTTTTTGCTTGCAAAGTTAGGATTGATGGTCCACAATTTTTTGGGTTGAACGGCTATGAGGACCCTATCCATGGCGAAGGTGTGTAATTCTATAGGGTGAGGGTCCGTTTGCTCCCACTATATTCCGAACTCACTCTTGTTTAAATCTTATATAACTCACGTGTGCAGGTTTCGATAGGCTGTGCACTGTAAGCAGTGAGTCCATTCCACATCACTTCCACCTCGTAACTGTACACTGAGGCAGCCTCCAATCCAGTGTCTGAAACAGGAAAAAGTTATTTGAAGAGGAGGGAAAAACATAAAAATTTTGGTGTGGTTTTTTTGAAGACTAGTTGACATTACCCGCACTGACAAAAATGGATTTCGATCGATTTTAGTATGAAAAAAGTATGCAGTTTAAATTGAAATTTGTAAGTGAAAAAGTAAGTTAATCAAAAAGAAAAATTCAGATCGATTTGGATCGATTTTAAATCGAATCAAGTCGATTTAATTTCAACGCTAAAAAATCGATTCCAGTCGGTTTTAAATCGATTTGAATGGATCTTAAATCTGAACTAAAATGATATAGATCCAAAGCTGACTAAAATCCTTGTAAAACAAGATCAACCGTCCCCCCATCCCCCACCAATTCTGATCCCGCAATCGGAATCGGAATTCGAAATCGGTTTAGATCAATTTTTAGACACTTAAACCGATTTAAAATTTTCAAAAAAATCGATTTAAATCGATTCAAAGTAGAATTAAGTGAGATTCTGATGGATTTGAGTGAGAATCGGATGGATTTTAGTGAGTCGGAAAATTCATCGAAATCGATTTAAATCGATTTTTTAGACACTTAAATTGATTTAAATTTCTCACAAAGATCGTTTTAAAATAGATTGAAGCGAGATACTGATGGATTTAAGTGAGATTTGGATGAATTTTAGTGAGTCGGAAAATCCATCAAAATTGAATTAAATCGATTTGTTAGACACTTAAATCGATTTAAAATTTTCAAAAAGATCAATTTAAATCGATTTTAAATCCCTTTAAGTTCGTAAAATGTACATGGTTAATCATATTGGATTAATTTTAAATCGATTTAAAATCAATTTAAATCGATCGGAAACCATTTCTGTCAGTGCGAGTAATTTATAAAATTTTCAAAAAATATAAAATTTTGGTATTCAAATATAAAATTTGGGTGTGGTTTTTTTGAAGACTGGTTGACATTAGGCTATAAGGTTTTTATGGATAAAACCTTTTTAAGATATTCTATGAAAATTTATATCCGTTTTTTTTGGAGTAAATGTTAATGGTATTTGTAAGACACTTTTACCCCACGCTTTTTTCGTGAAAGTGAACCCGCACTGACAAAAGTGGTTTCGGATCGATTTAAATTGATTTTAAATTGAGTTTAAATCGATCCAAATCGATTAACAATGTACATTTTACGAAATTAAATGGATTTTAAATCGACTTAAATCAATTTTTTTGAAAACTTTAAATGGAGTTAAGTGTGTAAAAAATTAATTTAATTCGATTTAGATGGATTTTTCGACTCATTAAAATCCATCTGAAACTCACTTAAATCCATTTTGAATCGATTCAAATTGGTCTTTTTGCAAACTTTAAATCAATTTAAGTGTCCAAAAAATCGATTTAAATCAATTTGGTTGGATTTTCAGACCCACTAAAATCAATTTTTTTGCTAACAAGGCAAAAAAAACATACGCTTTAAAAAAATTGTCGGAATTTTTTAATCTCAATTTTTTAAATATAACCACTCGTGCCAGATGTTGAAGAATTCAAAAAGTGATCCACATAAATCAGATTTTAAGCTTGAAAATAGGCGATGAAATGATAAAAATTTATTGTAAATCCTATACAAACACGAAAAGGGTCCGAACAAACTAAAATTTGATCTCATTAATATGCATTTAAATCATAGAAAATTATACAGATAAATCAGATTTTGGGCAAAACTTATAAAACGAATCAAGAAAAGAGTCAAAATAGATCATTTTTTGAACTCAAAATATGCAAGAATATCAAAGAATTTTCATCGATTTTTTGGTCTTTTTATTTGGTCTGTTTTATGCTACAATACGCTATGGATGTAAAAATGAAAAAGCATAGGCGAGGAGTAAATGCGATAAAAATTCGAAACTGATAAATCTCGTATGAAAAAATCGATTTTAATCAATTTAAAATCGTTTTAATCCCCTTAAAAAAAAATAAAATCATACTGACAAAAATGCGTTTAAATTGATTCAAAATCGATTTGGATCAATTTTTTAACTTGGATTTAAGGTCAATTCAAATCGTTTTCTATTTAATCTTCTTACTTTTTTCATACTAAAATCGATCTAAATTTGTTCAACGTACTTTTTTCATACTAAAATCGATCTAAATTTGTTCAACGTCTTTTTTTCATACTAAAATTGATCTAAATTTTTTCAACGTACTTTTTTCATACTAAAATTGATCCTAATCCATTTTTGTCAATGCGGGAAAAGCAATATAATCAAAAATAGAAGTAGAAACTTTTTCAAACTGTCCTAACCTTTTATTTTCAAATTGGTCTTTTGTCAATGTATTCAGAAAACACTTGATGACTTACCAGTGAAAATGAATGGGTCGATTGAAGTGAAATGTTGTCCTACTTCTACTCCGTAGCGGAACACGCGGATCCCGTGGTAGGGTACACTCCACACGTTAGCCCCGGGGTTATCCAGTCCAATTTGGATCTAAGAAAAAGCATTATAGATTAAAAAAAAAAAAATTGATCCCCGACAGATCCTAGCTTAACAAATCTGTTTAGCGGGCTTATGCTAAATTTACAGCGCGGCATTCAGCTGGCATCGATTTGATATAATAAAGTTATCACAGAGATCAAAATTCAAAGTTCAAAATCACTCATTTTATTTTGAAAAATCGTATATGTTTTGCCAATATAGTTTTTAGTAAATGAGAAAAAACTCCTGATTGTTTGACTTTGTTGGGAGTCGGTCGGTATGTTTTCCGCTGTACGATCTGCAATGGTGAAGACACGCTGTTTTATCGAAATGTATGATTTGATGTAGATCCCGCGACGTATCTTCAACATTGAGGGTCGTACAGAGGATGACGTACCGATCGACCACAAACATAGTCAAGCAACCAGGACATTCAGCAATGTATAATTTTTGTTGCAGTGGTTTGATTATTTTAAGGGATGTACCAGTCGTAATACATTTGTTAACAATGTCTTAACTATGCGCATTACGTTTACAGGCAATTTAGAACACATGGATGATACAGTGAATACACATCGATAGGGCATGGGTATAGAAAACTAATTCAAATACAATGATAGTATACATTGATGAAACAGGGATTTTATAATGATCGCACTTTGTTGAAACGTTGCTGGTCTTAATGTTTTAGCAAAAAAATGGCCGTGAAATTATTGTTTATTCTTTTCGCGAGATACGAAATGATAATGGATAACCAGTATGAAAGTGAGATAGAAATTGGAAAAAAATGGAAAAAAATTGGAAATTGCAGAAATTGGAAAAAAATTGTAGTCAAATATTATTGATATTTCAGATTTTGGCATGAAGTTCTTGTCGGAAAAAATGTCAAAGAATATCAATCTTACAAAATATTTAAAAATTAGACCTAATTTTCATATTCTCGCAATTAGAGATCTTATGGTTAGCTGAACAATTTAATTGCTCCCCGTCTGAGCAATCCGATCAAGTGTGGCTTAGATTCTTTCACAGGATAAGAAAATGTTTCCCCGGAATTTCACGCAAAAAAGCACTTTTTTGGCTCTGAAACTCGCTTGTCGTAGGCCGGTTCCCGGTTTAATTAAGTTTCTGGAACTTGTTCACTATTCGGTTCTGCGTCTTCTAACTAAACCATTTCTCTATGGTCTCCATAACACCCGGAGGGCAGGATGGAGGCTTCTCAGACAGCGGACACCTAACTGAGCCCATGCGGCAGTAACCAGTGAACAATTCCAAGATCTTGATTGACTAACCTGATCGACAGTGTTCTCCCCGAAAAAGTAGGGTTCCGGCTGACTGGGAGTAGTGTAGGCCTCCACCATCTTAAGTCCACCTTCATAAGAGATGGAAGAGTACTCCACGCTCTGGTTGGATACATTGCATATGATGTCTGTGGCTATGGACAGTGTCATCTGAGTCATTGGCACGAGGCCGGAGAGGGAAAAGTGCCGGTCGGTCTGGTTGGGACTCACTGAAACAGCGATGTTTTATGCTTTACCAAGACACAATGGAGTGTTGCCTCTGCAGACAAAGAATGTTTTTCTTCAACATTTATTAATTTTGAGATAAGTTCCAAAACGTTTCATTTACCAATTTTTGAGCATCTGGAAACGTTGAGTATTTTCTCTTCACAGAATTTCTGAATGGCAAAGTCTTATAATCAAACAAAATTTCTAGAACAAAACTTTAGTCATGGCCTTTCCTGTCATGACCACACTGTATGGAGTATCACTGCAACAGAAAAAGAGCTTTTCTTGTACATGACTGGCTATGGTCTGTGTTTTTTATTGAATAGATTTAATACAAAATAAAATGGCTGGCGAAAATTTTTTTTCGAAATCTTGAAATACATAAATGCTGAAAGAAATGAAATATTGGCACACATTCAAAACACCAACAAATTTCAATGCAATTTGAGACTGACCTAGAGCATCGTCCCGATACACATCGTAGTGGGACACACCCACTTGCTCTGCTGAGTCATGGGGGTAAGTCCAGCTGATTTTCACATCATTCTCGCCCTGCTCTGTGAAGTAGGCGAACTGGGGCACACCAGGGAAGGAGCAGCCCCATTGGGGGTCACTTAGTTCACTCATCAGACCTTAAAGCAAAGTGGAAACGTTTATTAATTTACAAATACAAACAAATAATTTAATAGTGGTTCAGCTGCTTCCAACTTAATTTGCTCAAAACTTTTTGTATCTACAAACAGTAGCGGATGCAGGGGGGGGGGGGGGGGGGGGGGGGGTTTGCAGGGGCACATTTTTTCCAGGAATTTGACGAAAGAGGAGGCGTTTCGACCAATGTTCCACCTTTCAAAGGCTTTCCAACTTTCAAAGGCGCGTTCAAAGATTTGTTTGTCTGGACACAAATCTGGACACAAATCGAGAACCTCCGCCCCTAAAACCCAATCATGTCAGCTTAAGATGAACAAGGTCAAACTAAGTGGTCGACCAAACTCGCACTGTGTCTGGAAACGTCAAGCAAAGAAGCCGATGTTCGACTAACATCGTTTCAGTCCACAGTTTCGTTTTCATTACAAGTCGAGCTTAGAGCCATGGTTAGGGAATCTTAAGGATCTTAGAAAGCTTAGGGATCGTTTACTTGGCAGCAGAAATAAAACTTTATAACAAAAAATACCGTGTTTGACCACTGCAACAGTGTACTCATTCTGCACTCCGGCTAGCAATCCATAATGGGTGAAAGTCAGATTGTCCTTCATTTCTCCCACTTGTTCTCCATTTGCAAACACCAGGACAGTCAAGTCGGGGAACTCATCGAACACTGTGACGATCACCTGGATGGCAGCACTGGAACCAACCAGAGGGATGACCTGGAAAGAAGGGAAAAATCAAGTCAACAAACGCACCTAGTGAAAATGTTCCTAGTGAAGCTGACTTTTCTTTTCAGTTTGGATGAGAACAGTGCCGCTTTTTTAATAGTTAATGATGTGTATTAACTTAAACCTTCTTTGATTTGAAGGTCAAGTCCTAAATTCAAAAACGTGGTCTTTTTTGTGTATTTTTTTGAATATCCAGTAGAATTGTATTTTATAAAAATCCAACATTTGTTTGCATTCAACTGCTTTAAAGCTCGTATGTTAAGTTAAATATAATCATATGGATCAAAATTTCTAAAAATACTCACAGAGATGGAACTCACTGGTCATAAGCTAAGCATACTCTTAAACTCAAAGTAGGCGCTCCAGTCCAAAATAATACCAAAAAATTATAATAAAACTCACACTCTGTATTTCTGGCTTCGCCGGTCTTGTGGCCGCTTCGATCCGACTCCAACCACTGATTCGGTTGGTTCCATCCACACTACAAGTGAACACACTCCTCACCATCACACTGAACTCAGTGCCGCTGGAGATGGTGGGCACAGAAGTGGAGGAGATGTTGAGGGTTAGAGTTAAGGTGGGGGTGGGGGTGAAGTCGGAGTTGAAGAAGGGGGTTCCGTGGTCCACTTCAAACTCATAGTCTGAAATGTACCATACTTCTCAATTGTGGACTTGATGTTTTTTGGCCAATTGAAAAAAAGAAGGAAAAGATGGTAAAAGGACCATGGAACATGTAACAAAAACAGATCTTAACAATTTAGGCTAAATTTATTGAGTAAATTTGTCGTTTTCCTTTATTTTTCCCTTTTCAAAAGGCTAGAGTGATGTCATCTATTGGATTTTTCTCTTGCCTAAAGTCCAAAACCTAAATATGAGAAGTTCTGATAATCAAAATTAACAGGAAAAAACGGTCGAAATTAAATTATACAGTCCGCCAAAAATATTTAAGGGATTTGCAAAAATATTAGACAGCCATGTCAGCAAAACTCAACAGAAGAGAAATGATTACTCATCGACCTGTGGCTGCCCCGTTGGCGGATGGGTTCCAGGCTAGAGTGATGTCATCACTAGTGGAGTCCACCACCCGCAGTCCAGTGGGTCTCTGGGGGTCAGTGCACTGGGAAACAACAGCACTCTTCCCACTTCTCACCTAAATAAGTGCACACGCATTCACTTCAGTTTAAACGGGAAACTGGAATATTTGTGGAGAATTGAGCCGTTTTTTTAGATACAAGGGGCTGCTTCGGGGGATAAGAAGAGTTGAAAGAGTCCTTACATCAATTCTATCCGATTATAACCCCAAGCCTAGTAGCAAAAATTTAACACGACCACAATTTGCTTCGAGGAGTGGGGAAGGGGGAGAGGGGGTTGGAGGGTCTATAATTGGAAAGACTCCTTAAATCATGCAGGCGCTGATTGATCTAGGAATTTTTCGAGGGGGCGGCGGATTTTCAATTTTTTTTGGATCGACTAAATTGGTTTTCTGAGCTCTCCCAAAGTACTATAAAGACCCCAATTTGACCAAATTTTTTGCGCCGCAGACAAATGTTTGAAAAAAGGCTAAAAAAGACTGTAACTCACCCCTCTGTAGAATGCGTATGTGTAGTAAGAGTAGAGAGTGCCTGGCATCAGATTAAAGGAATCCAACAGTGGCTCATCATCTGTCACGTTCATGAACCTATAAAATCGAGTTCTCAATATGAAAGAGGGATTTAGACTCACCCGCTAGTTTTAGACACGATGAATTCTGTTTTCTTTTTTACACAAATGATTATTATTACTTAAGATTTGAAAAGTTTGGCTACCTATATAGTATCCCGGGTTGAAATCACAGAGCTTATCAGTACTGTTCAAATAAAACAACAGCTGTAAAACAAAATTCAGTCATATGTCAGAGTAAAATCAGCACTCTGTTTTTCACATGACCAAAAGATTGAACAGGAAAAATGTCAGTACTGTTCTAAAACTGTAACCATACTGTTACAGTACTGTTTTTTTTTCTGTTTTCAATCTGAAATATTACTGGAATTTTTTTTTCGAAAGTTTCGAATTGATTTTTATGTTTTGTTACGTGTCGTTACAATCGGAAAAATCATCATCACCGTTTTTTTTTACCAGAAAAGTATTGTAGCGTTGGTAACTAGAAGGCTAGAGCAATTAAATTTGCCTGGAAATATATATTTTTGGTTTTACAAAAAATCGAAAAAAAAACTTTCAAAATTTGAATTCATCCATCTACAGCCAAAATTGACTGACAATAACCTATAAACGCAGTAAACGCAACAAAAACAGAAATGTGTTAGCGCTGGTAGTTATAAAGCTTGAGCAGTAAAATTAACTTGAGCAGTAATATTTTTGATTAAAAAAACCGAAAAAAAGTTCTTTTTTTCAAATTGAATTCACAGCCCCAGAGCCCAAATCAACTAAAAATAAAATAAAAACGCAGTTTTTTTCGCAAACAAAATAGAGACGTGTAGACACTGTAGTTAGGCGATTTGACCAACTAAATTTTGCTAAAAATACAGCAATTTTTGGTTAAAAAACGGAAAAAAAACCGTTTTTCTTTTAAGAATGATGCAACACCACAGCTAGAAATCAGCTCAAAATTTGTCAAATTTTCGGTTACTATTTTTTCTATTTACGAAATAGATTTGGTTGATCTTGCTCTTTGTTTTTAATATAAGAGTGTTCTTTATTTGTTATTTTTTTCATCCCAACTGTTTCTTTTAATTCCATAATATTTTTTCACTGTAACAAATATGCAGTAGTTTTGCAGTATTTTTTGAAAAAATCTCAATTTGAATTCTGGAACTGTGAAATTATGAAACGTTTGTTCTATTTTTAGACTAAAAATTGGTGGACAGTTACTTACTTTGATTCTTAGCAGCTGAATTTAGTGAGTTGAATTATTTTACCGTGTGCCTAAAATTGCTTCAAGACTGACAATCATTAGAAATTTTTGAATTTTTTCTGTGGTTTTTCTTCTGATGATTACTAGTAACGCGAAGTATAATACGTTGTTTAAAATTGTTTTGTGCAATTTCGTTATAAAATTTCGTTTGACATTGTTATCATCATAATTAGCCTAGGTTCAATAATTGATTTACAAGTGAGTTTTAAACCCTAGATTTCCTTTTTTTTTAGTTTTTTCTCAGAAAATTGCAGATTGTTCTTCAATAAGAAGGTCAAAAATGTTTTAAAGTCAGCCCTACTAAATAAATTCATATTAGAGGCTGAATTATTTAAATCAGCCTCTAATAAATAATTTCAATATCTCTGATTTCATTTTTGATCAGAGGAATAGTAGTAGAACACAACTTTTGATTTTGTAATGAATAGAGAAACAACAGAACACAATCTCTGATTTTATTCTGATTGCAAAAAGAACAGAATGAAAACAGTACTGTTGCAGTACTGAAGTTTTTTCTATGATATATCTCTGACCAGAGACATATTGCCACTTGCCAGAATCTGATGCAGTACTGATAATATACTAAAACATTTCTGGAGAAAAAAAGATTTTCTCTGTGATTTCAACGTATAACCTCAATCTGTGGTACCCTTTTGGTGAGACTTTATGACATCCATTTTGGCTGACCAACCTCAAAAATTTTCCTTCGGCGCCAGTAAAACTATTTTTGAGGAAGGCGCGCGCCGAAAAAACTCATTTATTTTCAAAATTTTCCAAAAAATGCCCAAAAACGCATTTTTGGCTTGTTTTTTTTTTGACGGCCCAGAACATTTTTGACAAAAAAGGGTCCTTAGTATTTTCGGATAGCTCGGAAAGTTATATTGACCGACTTTAAAAAAATGCCCGGAAAATTTTCATAACTCGTGAAAAACCACCCCCCTTAGAAAAGTTTCTGCTTTAAAAGTTTAGAGTAATTTGTGTGCTTATCAATTTATCAACTGTAGATATTTCGGATCTTTCCCATCATAGCATCCCCCTAGCGTAAAAACAATAAATCTTCTCTGCTCCTAGATTTAACCATTATGGGATATAATTTGCTGGACGAGGGGGGTGGCGGGTAGGGGTCATGGTTTGGCATCAAAAGGAAAGGCCCGATTTTTTTTCTTATTTTTTGTACTACCTGATATCTATGTTCTATATTTTGTTTCAAAACCATTTGTTTTATATTATCCTAACTCACCTCAAACCCTGTTCGACACTTGCCCCCTTCATTCTGAACACATCGAAGAACACAATCTCCTCATTCGCATCGTCCCCACCCTGACTCAGATCTACCTGGAGGGTGGTGGAATCGAACTTGCTCACCACGAGTGTGGGCTGAGAGGGGGGAATGTGGACGTAGAGGGAAGTCTTCGAATGACTCAACAGTTCTGAAAACATTTTTTTAATTATCAATTTAGTTTTGCAGCATTAAATTGACTTTTTGGTTTGTAAAACGAGCTGAAATTTTTGCAGTTTGACAGTTTAGCGTCTGGAATTTGTAAAAAAAACTATAAGAGCAAGTTATTATCCTCCGCCCCACCAATTAAGTATGTAGTGAACTTCCCTGTGCTCCTGTAAACTATTCGATTCTCATTCACTACAAAATTCAACATGAGTCTGTTTTTAGACTTAAATTCAAGTTAACACCCTTTTAACAAGCTCTTGGGGATGTTCACTTGGTTTGAAGTTGAATTTCAAAACAAGTGAACATCCCCCAGGAGCAGTATAAGGCTGAGGTTGTTAACTTGGATTTAAGTCGAAAAATAAGTTTTCAAATAGAACAGTTAATCAGGTCCAACATAATCATCATCAATGAGTTTTCTGGAGACTTTATTTACTTTTTTAAATAATTAAAAAGTGAAAACGCGGCCAATTTTTTTCCCAATCTGCGCATAATCGAAGCTTACAGCGTTACTCATGAAAACTGACCTTCGGACGCAGCTGTGGAGCCCTCCCCTCTGTCTGCATTGGCACATGTGTATGCTGACTGCACCTGGACCAGGTATGTCTTGGCATGTCCGGACAGACTGGATGAGATGTCCTGCGAAATTCCACTCACTCCGGAGTGGGTTTCGACGTCTCCAATGAACACGTTGTAATCTGCAAATGGATCATTTTAAAAAGTAAACTTGCTCAAAAGTTAGTACAATTGATAAACCTCATTAAAAAACTTAGCTCATGGAACCTGATCTAAACTACATTTTATGATTGGATAAATTAGATATTTTACCAATGTAAAGTATTTAATATTAACCAATCATGATCCATCTAACTAACAACACACTTATTTGTAAGTGCTGAAATTACTTGTAATTTCAGCACCAGAGAGATTTGAATTTAACTTAGAAATTAGTTGGACTCTCCCGAGTACTTCAGCAGCCGCAATAAACCAGTATACCCTAGATCTATTGAGCCTAGCAGAGACTAGTTTAACAACCTGAGACTAGATAGTATAAGAGTAAGATTAGGATCGGTATTAGACTAAGAAGTTGCACGAATCTATCCGGCCGAAAATAAGATAGCGTGACGAGCAGACGGTGTACCCTATCCGAAATTACTCTATGAGTTATACCCATCGGTCCTAACTCATCTGGTGCGACCATAAGTCTCGAACAAGACCTTAATAGCTTAGAATTAACCAAAATAGATTAGAAATTAGACAAAAACAATTACAAAATGTTATACGACGATAATTTAATCAAAATGTCTCTACGACTCAATAGATCAGAGCCAATATTCCGAACCATAACAGAACTACCCGGAATTGGAAGAAGACCTCGAACCAGAGACGACATACGACAAAGTAGAAACTTGCCATATAGTTATATGATAGTTCGGCAAAAGCCAGAACAAACTTTTGTATTTAGAAAACTACTCGCAATGAATTTAGATTTTCATTTGCAAACATAAAACCTTGAAGTCAACCTTCAAAATCATTTCAGGCGCTAAACAAAATTATTAATATGCAATAACGATTGATAAAAAGATCTCAGATCGTTTTCTTAAATTCTGCAGTAATATATAAAACATGTTTGAAAAATATTTATTGGAAAATAAAAATAAAAATTAGTAGCATGACAATAAATGGTTAGTAATCACGAATCATCCTGTTGTTCCAGCTTCATCATCTAAACATAACAGCATTCATAAACTCACTAACATCATCAAAAAACTAAATCTTTTCTTTACACAAATTTAAATCTTTATTAAAACTTAAATTCACTTAATTTTAAAATCAGATCATCAAGGCTTATCCTTGGATCTTAAATCATTTTCTACTTAATTAAATTTCAAATTTGATCATCAAGGCCTATCCTTGGATCAAAAAGAACAACTTTGTTCTCCCCCACCCACTTAACTAGTGTCTAACTACCTCAAACGTCGATTCACTATCCAACCCTTTCTAAAAGACCCAAGACTAATAGAAATTTTTAAACAAAACTAATCATTCAAATTAGGATAAACAGTGAAGAACTTTGGTTATTCATCCTTCACTTGACCCCCCCCCCTCTTACCAGACCCAGGATAAATCTTAGACTTAGTAAGTTAAAAATAGTATCTAACGAACTACTCGCGTTCTAATTATACCTGAACCTTGTGGATCGATTTACTATTCTCCAACCCTTGAACACAATCACTACCCCTAAGTAAGATTAAGTAAGTTAACACCTTAGCTTATATTAGTCACGAGAAAGTAAAAATCATTCTCCGGAATAGATATACTTTTCTCTTCAACCCTGAACAAATAGACCCAGGTTAAGCTAACCAAAAAATCGTAAGGACTAACAGTTTAAGCAATTAGAATTCACTTAACAACCTTTTGCATCCGTCATCCTAAACCTTATGTCATTTAAAAACCTAGGAAATAAACAAACAATCGTTTTACACAATTGTGAAATAGATAACAAAAAATACGACCTTGTAATCACACCTCATACACAAACAGTTGGATACATTCGAACAAAACGACAAACACTGAAGAGAAAAATAATAACTAAACAAAGACAAATAACACAAAAAGATTTTCAAAAAACCGAAACGCATTTTCAGAATCAGAAACCAACAGTTTAGACGAACTTTACAAACTAAAAGAATCAATAGATAAAAAATGCCCAATTCACGATCAATTATATTTCTCTGACTCAGAAACAACTTCAAATTCATCAAAAAGAGGAAAAAGAAGAATAAAAAAGCAGTATAAACACAAACCAGTACATTTATACAATTGGAATCAACCAATTCGACACATTAATAATTACATATTAACAGTCATCGAACGAAAAAATGAGCTCAACGCACACCCCAGGTGACGAAAGTCCAGATGATGATGAAATCTTCCCTTTTATAGTAGATGCAACCACTGATAGAGGACAACATATATTTTGCAAAAATCTACTCTTAAATTTATTTGAACCCGGAATCAGTCCATGTAAAACAGAGTTCCCAGATGTAAAAATCAAAAGACAAATCATAGATCACTATCTAAAAGATATATGTAACTTAACACAACAGTATGGAATCTACTCCATAGAATTCACCTCACCAAACCATAATCATAGTAAATATATAATTCAAACAGACGATCTTGATTTAGAATTTTCAAAAGTATTTTCAGAATATATAAAAAGCATCCAATATCATAACTCACAAAGAGCAAACTCCATATTCACCAATGAAGTTTTCGCAATAATATATAGTTATATCTCGATATTAGAAAACGAAATCCCAATACCAAATGTCTCACCGACAGAAACATCTAAACATATAAGAGTACGACATGAAATCACACTACTCTCTAGTTATTTAAACATCATTAAAGAAAATTTCACGAAAGACGAAGTTTCACAACATACAAAACATTATCTACAAAAAATTTTGGCATGGTTCATAATAGATTATTTCACACACAATATTGACTTAATTGCACAAGCAAGAAAAAATTTTAGACCCTAAAACTCGAACGATGATACCGCTATCACAGAACAATCAGACTATGTTTGGGACCCCGAATGGTCTCATCCCGCATTTATAAGCTTCCCACAATCAATCTCAAGTCAAGCAATAAGTACAATATCTTACATAAGAGATTATGTAAGAGTAATACCATTAACCATTGATGCAACACCATTAAACTATAATATATTTTTGCCCGATACACAAAATAATAGTTTAAACTCTACAGTCATACACAATGAAAACCTCAATGGAACTAGGAATCTTACTCAACAAGATATCCAGACACCATCACACTTCATAAATGAAGAAATTGTACACACAACAACTACACAACAAAGTATTTCACCAATACGCCCAAATTTAACAACACCAAGAAATACAAAACCTTCACAAACACAGGTAAGCTTACAATCAACCGTTAAACCTTCTGTTGCTCCAAAATATTCACATATGGATTACCAAACATACAGACCCATGACAATACCACCAAAAACACGTAAAACATTCACTAGAAACAACTTTGCAGACCATAATTATAATTATACACATCCATCAAAAACAAATTATCAACCACGAAGAAATTTTAACCAATATACAAGATCTCGAAACTGGGATAACCCAATGGCCCAACCTAATTCAGTAAATTTCCAAACAAATCCTCCACAGGATCGCAGTGAAAATTACCCATTTTTTCAACAAAATAAAAATAAAAAACAGACATCTTATCAAATGGATTATTTATCCTCAGATGATGATTTCTTACAACCAGACATATTTGCACCATATACTCAAGAATATCGTGGACAAGGAGTACAGAAACCACATACAAATCATAGAATTTTTTCTCCACAACCGATAGATACACAACATCAACAACCAATTCAGCAACAAAATCCAATTAATACACAATCTTTTTAACCAATTCAACAACAAAACCCAATGATTGCACACTCGTATCAACCAACACAAATGCAAAATGAAATACCACTCCCATATTATCTTCAACAACATGAAATAACAAGAAACCAACTTTCAAATTTTTCTCAAATGCCAAATGCAGCAGAATCATTACAAATGACAATGAATCCATACCTTATGGGTGGATCATCAATAACATCAAACAAACCTTTAATGGTTTTCACAGGAACAGACCCTGAATACTCTGTAGAAGATTATTTAAATGCAGTAACAGCAAACTTGATTTTAAACATTGGACCTGAACCAATTAATACGCCACTACATCAAAACTGGATACATCGACGCACAGCGTTGATACAAACAACCTTAGATGGCGCAGCCCAAAAATGGTTTTCAGTATTACCTCCAGAAATAAAATCAAATTGGAAAAGGTTTACACAGGAATTTTCAAAAATGTTTGACTCCGAAAGAAACAAACAACAACAAAGAGTTTTATGTAATGAAATTCGCAGATTACCAAACGAAACCATCAAGCAATTAGCAGTACGAATCGAAACACTAGTTCGAAAAGCATATTCACTAAATACACACGACTATAAAAACACAAAGATGACAGAAATCTTAATGATGACCTTAACACCACAATTAAGGAAAATAGCAATAAAAAGAGAGCATCCCATCCTTCTTCAATTCGAGAACCCGATTTAGATTTTCGAAATTTAGTAGACAAATTAGAACAAGCAGAAATCACAATGAAACTAGAAGAAACGGAAAATCTGAAATTAGAATACGTTAACAGAATTGAAACGACTCCCACTAATATTAATAATATACAGGAATCAGACACAGACCTCGTTGAAAAAATCACTGAAATACTCAATATTTACGAAAAGAACCCAAACTTTAAAGGCAAACCATCTTTCAAAAAATGGTGTAATTATTGCCGACGATACGGACATAGTATTTCTGAATGTAGACAAAAACAGCAAGATAGTCAAAATAAACCTCAAAAATACAAAGAACCAAATAAGTCATTCTATCAATATATGAAGAAAGATCAAAATCTACCGAACAAAAATGTATACAGCAACAATAGTTCCGGAAAACCACTTCCGAACAATACAAGCTATACAAGAAATCAATCCCCATATAACTCAAGTTATAGAGGAAGATCGCCAGAACGAAGAAACACACAAAATTCGTCACAAAATCACTACAATAGACCA